TTCACAATGTGGGCAACCATGACATGCATGTGTGTGTTCATTCGTGAGGCTGGTGAAAGTTTGTGAAACAACACATTCATTAGCATATCATCCCTGTTTGGCATACAAAATTCACAACACATTCACAATGAGGGCAACCATGACATGCATGTGTGTGGCATTGGACAAAGACATGATTTGCAACATTGCGAGAACAATACCATTTGTATCAGGGACATTTACGACAACAAACCAGAAACCACTCAGCAAACAACAGCGACTCACATGCAAAAGCGAGGGTAGAAGAGGAACGTGGAGAAGTACAAAGCAGTAAAAAACACTCCACTGGAAATGCGTATGTACATGTCCGAACCCAAAAACCGGACCCGTCATCTGAACCGTAACACAGAGTACCTAACAAAAAAGTAATGTGATCGTACCATCCATCACAGTGGACCTGGCGCTGCACATCGAGCAACAACATCAACATAACTATGAAACTGCCCTATCAACAAAACGTCCTACCAAAAAGAAAAAAGAAGAAAAAAAAAAAAAACATTAACGCCGCCCTCTCCCTCCAGATGAGCGGCCCGTGCCCCGCCCTGCAGGAGGACGTGCGCGGCCTCTCCCGGAGGACTGTCGACTCTGCGCTCCTCCCGGACCCCCTCCACTGCCTCCAGCACCTGTGCCCTGTGCACCGCTGATGTACGCCGCCTGTGCTGCTGCGGCTGCCGTGGCCATGGCCGATCTGTGTCTGCGGACCGCACTGTCGATCGGCTTGGACTCTGTGTTAGCGTCCTCGTCCTCGGCCTCCTCTGCAACAATCATCTCTCGCTGCCTCTGAATCGCGTCCAATGCAGCCTGGTCGGCGGCGATCTCTGCTGCGAGTCAAGCCTCAACCTCGGTGACGGCGCTGTGTCGTCTCGTCCCACGACGCATCATCAACCCCTCCTCACCCAATGTGTAATGTTGTCCCTGCTGCATGTCCGTAAGTGTCCCTGCGGTCGAGAGGACCAATGATCTCCTCGTCGCCGATCGTGGCAAACCGAGCATGCGGCCTGCCATGTGAAGGCTCGGACGTCCGGAGCCACACTCTGCAGCCTGCCTCTGTGGTGACAAACGTCCTACGAAGGCGCCCCTCCCGACGTCGTAATCCACCCTCAACCAGTCCGTGACCCGTCGATGAGCTGCCCATCCGCCGGCGACACCTCCTCGTGCGCACAGGCCGCCGTCTCCTCGTCGCCCACCTCCGAGGCCCGTGCGGGTGGTGGGGGCATCGATCCGGAAGATCCGCCGCCGTCACTGCGGCGGCTCGACCCGCCCTCAACCACCCCGGACTCCCTCCCTCTGATGCCACTAAGCGACGAACCCGACCATCGAGGGTTCTGCACGAGGTAAGGCGGGGGTGAATATCCCCCTCCAGGGGGGCGCCTCTCGCTGCTCCTATGGCCCGTATGGGGGAAAGGGTCCTGTGAACCGACTTGCACCAAACCGTTGGCGTCGAGCTCAACGTGCGTGAAGTCGTCGGGGCGCAGGGCAGGTAGTGTAGGGTCCCTCATGACCAAAACGAGCATCTCGTCATCGTCGTCGCCACCGTGGTCGTCACTGCCATCGCGGTCGTCGGACCCGTCCTCGTCCTCGCCGTGATGGTCGCCGTCGACATCTCCACTGGGTCGACCCTATCCCCCACCACCCACAACGACACCCTGTCCCTCGTCACCCGGGGGGACACCCTCTCCCCCGCCACGCACGTTGATATCCTCTCCGACAACACCCTCTCGGACCTCTCCCAGAACAGGCTCCCCACGGACACCCATGTCACTGGCGTCACCGCCGCCACCCCCCCCCTGTCTCCAACTCCCTCAGTCGACGCTGCTCCCATAGATACGCAAACCGACCCTCCCATCCCGGCAAAGTATGCAGCCGCTCCTCCTCGTCTCTATCCAGCCGGGCATCTCGCTCCTCCGCGGTCTCCATACGGTCCCGCACATCGAAGTGGTCGGTACGGAGCTCCGACGGCGAGGCACCGCCCTGTCTCGGGGCCCTCAAATCCCCCAAGCCCCCACCTGATCCCCCGACGTCAAAGTCGTCGGTACGGAGCTCAGACGGTGAGTGGGGGCGGAGACTGGCGCCGGATGGAGTCCTCTCAACGCCCGCCATGTCCAAAGGCCTCTCCCTCACGGTCCTCGCTATCATGCGTTCATTGTCTCTCTTCTGCCGACGCCAACCTTGCCGAACGCCTCATCTCGTCGGGCGGTCCCGTAGTCTGATGATGAGAGGGAGAGTACCGATGATCCTGACGGGGCACCTCCTCCTCCCCGCCCTCCCTCTCCGGATAGGTGTCGCTCCTGACCTCTCAACGTCTGGCCTCGAAGTGGCTCCTGCTCCTCGACGTCGTCATCAGCACGCGGACGTCATCCACGACGACCCCTGGCTCTGCTGGTGCCACTTGCCTGTCCACCCGACGGCACATCGTCAGTGATGACGGATGTGTGTGGAGCCATGCCGTCAAGCCCTCCACCGTAAGTGAAATACACCCGCTCCACCGTCGCGTCGCCACTGATGGCCGCGTCATGATCGTCCGTCCACTGGTCGTCGGACGTGTCGTCGTCCGCATTAGCGTCCGGAGTGTCGTCAGCCCCTGCAGTGTACTCCGGCCACGGCCGTAGCTCTGTCGTCCTCTGGCGGAACACGTCCTCAACCGGGTCGTCTCTGGACGGTCGGCAGGCATGGAAAGCGACGACCTGGCGCTCGATTTCCTGCTCGCTAACACTGCCAGCAGGTTGCGATCCCCACACCTCGGGCTCCACGTCTCCCTCGTCGTCCTCCTCCCCTTCCCGCCGTCCCCTTCCGACCGGTCCCCATAACCCACGGCAACACGTAGCCACCACCCTGCTGTGTGCACGCGGCCAGTTTGAGATTGGTGGCAATCTCAACCAGCTGTGCTAGCTTGGCAAACCCAAGTTTGTTGCGCCTCGCCGTGTTGATGCGCTCGTGCTGCGCCTTGTTTCTCTCCGCAGGAGAGGCGGACGTCCACAAGTGCATGACACGGATGGCGATGATACGCAACTCAGGGTGATGACGTCCGTGAGCAAACCACCACGCCTCACAACGCTCGGTCTTGCGGTCCCCCCGACAATCGTCCGCCTCGGCATCAGACAACTGCCGATATCCCCAATCTCCCCGGCGCGAGTGGAAATGCCTCATCTAGTCTCGCACGGTCCTGTACAGTCTGCCGACGGGGTCGCCGCCGGTCTGCGCGAGCAGAAATCTGTCGCACTCCTCGACCACATGGGCGTCGTCACTGGTCGTCTGCAACAACTCATAATATCGATCCCCACCCCCCCCGTCCTACCCTTAGGCTAGTGTTAACCTGTGACGAACTGTTTTCCGAAGACGCGCGACTTTCTGCGCGGCGATACTTCGGGGTTGATTGAGAGGGGCCCCACCCAATTACATGAATACCCTCATCTTTTAGAAAAAGGGTGGTCCACGACGGTTGGTAGTTGATCGCGTCTTAGCGAGTGTGGAAAATAATTGTTGCCATAACTTCTTTCTTGTTCTGCTGTGAGGAGTGGGGCATTTTGACACGATCATCATGTGAGGGAATCTTTGTTTCGAATCTTTTTGAATTTTCAATTAAAGTCAAGCCCATGCGGGTTCTCGGGATTTTTTTTTGCAATTAGGACTTAAATTAGGCTAAGAATTTCGGTGCATAGTAATTTTGCTTGCAACTGCATGATGCTTCTTGCTTGCGCGAGCTCTGCCGCGTCAAGGTCTATGTTTTGGCTTCTCAGCGCCTTAATCTCACGTGTAACTGTAATTCTCTTCTTGGCAAAGCGCGCATGTAACTGTAATCTCCTCCTTCTTTATATCTTTGTCGCGCCCCTGCGCGCGCATATTTTCCTCAATCTTATTGGCCTAAACGATGCATGACTGGATCGATGCGTGGAGAGTGGCTGCGTCCCCCACGCTGCGGCCCGGCCATGCAGTCGTCGGCACTTCCTTCCTTCTCCTTCCCTCCCACTCAAGCACAATCCCGACTATTTCACGAGGACGCTCGTGGTATAAAATTTGCAAGCGCGATTAACTCTCTCTCTAATCAACTTTGGAGTTAGCGAGATCGACAGGATCGGCTAACGGGCAGGAGCGAGATGGTGAGTAGAGAGTTGGGCAGTTCGAAGAGCTAGTGCTGGGTATGCGAGGTTGACATGTGGCCGTGAAGGACTGTGGCACACGGGCGAACTCGGCTTGGCAATGCATGTTCAGACTAAGCGGTGTGACAACTCTGTGTAAGTAGTAGGTGTGAGGCGACGGCTGCCCACATCGGGGTGGCAAGAGAGAGAGAGAGAGAGAGAGAGAGAGAGAGAGAGAGAGAGAGAGAGAGAGAGAGAGAG